CTATAAAACACAGTCAGAGGAGGCATCTGCATCTAAATTTTGGTATCTTGAATATGTACATACTTTACAAGAATTACTATGAGAAGTGAAAGTTGAAATGGTTAACACTGAGGAGACAGAAAAGGCAACAACAACAAAACTTCGGACTTGCATTCTGTAAGAAGGCAAAAGTAGAGACAGGTGTCAGGTTTAAATTATCGTCTGTTGTAAACAACAACAAAAACAACCTTGTAGTACAATTTTACTTCAAAGGCATCCTGAGGTTCTTGGGTTTATTTTTTGATGATCGAGAGCTATAACTTCATTTAAGAATTTTAGAATCTCATTTAATTTCATCCAGATTTTCACCAATTGGTTATCTACGAAACAAAATGTGCTGCACCCACACAAAAGTAAAGGCTTTGGTACAGCCTGTGGCATTACAGTATAAATATATAAAGTGAAAAAAGGCCCAATCACAGTGAGGTCCACAGAAAAATATGGATTCCAAATTTTTTTTTGTCCTCTAATGACTTGACAGAACAACCCCACTGATAATAATCAAAACGACAACTTATCAAAGTTTATTTGATGTCACAGATCTAACTAGGTACATCCATACAGTATACATCTGTCTGGAGTGCAGAAACATAATTTTCACACTGTAAATTTAACACTGTGTACCCGATGTCTTGAAAAATTCTTATGGGGGCCCAAACTTTATCTATGATTCCAAACTCAAGTGAAGTTTACAAAACACTAATTTCTTCATGAATCAGGAATATGTACTACATTTTATACATTTTAGACATTTCTGAAAGGCGGAATGAGAAAAGAGGGTTGGGGGGGTCCTAAAATTACTAAAAAGGAAAATCAGTAGGCCTACACATCAGTAAAGGGTACCAAGTAGCAAAGGACATTATCTGAAGCAAATTAGTTAGGAGCACCGCAGGGCAGAAATTTATGGGTTGCTTACTAACCACAACAAAAACCACCAAACTAGAAAATATTATGGAAGGGATGGAACACGTAAGAGGGAGATCGAAAAGGTAGTGGACATGCTGTATGGGCAAAATGAATCAGAACTGTGAAGTCGTTAAAGATATAAATAGAAAGATCGTATCTAATCTGTGCAACGTGACTGAACCCTGGTTAAGGCATGTTCTCATGACACCCATGGATCAGATCACAGTCTACTTATCTTTTCCCCAACACGGAAAACATAGATCAGGGGTCTCAAACTCCTGGGCCACAGCCCCAGTTTGACATTCTAAAAAAGTTAAGTGTTTGTGCAGCCAAAATTTTTTCAGTTTTTGAGAGAAGTGTCCCAGAGACAATGCACCTTTTTGGTAGCAGATATGTGAAAAGCTTTTCTCCGCCATGAACTTAAACAATATCAGAGTACAGATCCTATATATCAGAGTACAGATCCAAACTTATTGATGAGCATTTTCAAACCATATTGAGGGACTCATTTGCTTCCTCCCTCAAACCAAACGGCGCTAAGCTATGTAACATTAACAGAAAGCGCTGCCGTGTTTCTGAAGAACCGTTCATGTTCTTAACTGCTATAAATAAAGACTAAGAAGGTTAGATCAGTTGTACTCTTTTTTTTAAAGGCCTACTTGAAAAGCTTTTTTCTGTGGAACAGGCCTACTTGAAGCCATCCAGGCTCATCCAGGCTCTAACTCCAGCGGCCCCCAGGTAATTTGAGTTTGAGACCACTGATATAGAAGCTCTAATTAAGTGAATATTCCAAGTCAGTTGTGAATACATACAAGAAAATGTGACATCATACATCAATTCTTCACGATGGAATTCAGTTGAAAGGAACAGGTGCAACATCGTCCATGCATGAATATTTGGCAAAAAACATAAAAATTTTCTTCCATGAAAGACATTTGAATTGAATAAAAGTTAACAGTAGCGTTGTGGAAACACAACAGACGGAATAAATCTCCGAACAAAGATAATACTGTGAACACTAAAGTACAGAAAGGGTTCAATATATTAATAAGATTATCATACCACATCAACAAATGCAAGTGCTTCGCAGTAACAGTACTTCTTTGTCACCACAACAACAACTACAATTCCACAGTACAATCATATTTCCTGGTACCAGTACCACTTTCATAAGCGCCAAGTACACTCGGGCATGGATAACTCAAACATGTCGAGGACTGACTAATGTATTCGACGACACATCCATAATTCGGGTTAACAAAATAATGACAAAAATATGATACCAGTCAGGGAATGGAAATGGTATAAGCTATCCGTGATTTGGAGTTTTTCCATGTTCATGTCCTCTGTGCCCAACTGTATATATGTCAACACCATACACGCACACAAATAATAGCTGAATTGAACAGATCCTTTCCTTAATTAAGTTCACACTATCAAAACAGTGCAAGTCATTGTCTTTGCTGAAGCATAGTGCCTCCCTTGAGAAATCTTTTGCTACGTTTCCATGTCAGTGGGCCTACTACTAACACAGTGCCTAAGACTATGAGGCAAAAAGCCTCTTTTCCAAGTCTCCAAACATATGTGTACCTTTTCCTTGTATCTTAATAAAAATTGAGAAGTTTTGAGCAGTTACCCACTGCACATTATTCTACATAATATGTTTCAAACATAATGTAATTACCTCTTACAACAAATTATTTACAACTATGACACAAACTTATTGAGTTCAGAAAAGTATCACAAATTGTGAAAAAAAGCCAAATGCCTGTTATACATACTCGCCTATAATATGAGCGATAAAACAAAAGGTCCAAATATACATCCCCGTATCAGTTACGTGACATACAGCCAGGATTAGGCTGAAAGAGATTTTCCATTACATGGCATCTTGCTTGGATTACCTGCCACTCCGGTCTCACAAATCAAATCAATCTCAATGCAACAACCAACAGTCTTTAACTGATGCCGGACTTAAATTTCATTTCATGCATGTTTAACCCCCTTCAGCCAAATTTTTAGTTACGGTATACCCCGGTTTTATATGCAAGGTCATTTTAAAGGCGAGTGTGTACAATATCTCAACGTTACTTTTTCAGACAAAGGCTGTTATGTAAAAAAACCAAAAAAACATTCTATTTGAATATGCAAATATGTTCTAAATTACACAAAATGAGAAATCTTATTAAAAGAATAAATAAAAAGGTGCATTAGGATTGCAGAACACAGAACATTCCTATGTGTGTTCTTTCCCGTACCTGCACATACAGGACACTGCAAACAAGAAATTCTCCATTCCTAAATGGGGCACCCAGGTTTTGAGCTGGGAGCTGAACGTTTAGCAGGCAGCGACTCAGGGGGTGGAAGGGTGGAGGACCCCAATATGAATTTAATATCTATACAAATATAAATGAAGCTTATGTTGTGCAAATTCACAGGGACCCATAATGTTTTCCGCTATCTTAGTATGACTCTCACCCATGTGGGGAGTGTATAAGGTAACTCGAGCATATAAGGATAAAACAAGATTCCAGTGCAAACTAAAACAATGTGTACAATATTTTTCAAACCCAATATTTTGTCACACCAACAAAACTCTAAGACTTGACCAGTGCAAAATCATTAGAATGTAGGGATTTACTGGGACACACTTTTCATGTCTGAGGCAAATTGACAAATGTTTAAAAACCCCAACAACAAACTGAGGTGTATGTGAAGTGGCACAAATCAACTGCTCAGTGTAAGACTGCCAAATACCATGTTGAAAAATGACGTACGACAAAGCCTTACAGTGAGCAGTTGAAATGAGGGAGACAAAAATATTCACTCTCTGACTTACTCTGTTGTGACATTAACGTGTTGCAATGCTTGCTTGCATCAAAAAAAATCTTACAAAGTGAATGAAACATCAATGTCTTTAGGACACACCAAAATACTCAACAGCTAACTAACGAGCTTCATCACAAAACATTAAAAGTGCTTTGTTTGTTGAACAGAGTTGAGAAATATTTTGTAAGAAGAAAAAAAGGAATTAAGACACTAATCAATCATATCCGAAGTCACCCCCCCAAAAAAAAACACAAAAAAACAAACAAACAACAAACCATTTACAACAATAAGTATTGAAAGTTAAAAGAAAAGAAGTCAGGAGCAGAAAACTGGATTTTCACACAAAATACTCTGCATACAACTTTTTGTTTACTAATTGAATCATTGCTTGAAAACAGTATTAGGAGATTACTTCTACTTGATCAAGCACTAATAGAAATGACTAATGTTAGGGACAAAAACTGAATAACAAGTATCACGAGAAGCTGGAATGGTTGAAGTTTTGCAATATAAGACTTTAGAAAGTACCTGGGGCCATGAAACTGACTCATGTACTTGGCAAAAAGGCTTTAATGCCGCTAGTATTTTCTGAACTCCTGATTTACACAAACTACCTGTAGCACAACACCAATCATAGCAACCACCTTACGAAGCATTTTATTGACATCATTTTAAGGCCAATACACTTTGTCATTAGCAATGCAAAATGGATACAAATACTTCTTTGTGCACAACAAGCGTTTTAGGATGAGTTTCTTTTAATTAATTCTTACTGAATATATCTCAAGTGCTCATAAATATCTAGAGTGATAGCAAATTTTCTGGCCCTTTGAAAATAAAAAGAAGTATTTCATATTTCTAATTAAAAAGCAGCAATCATCTGACAACACAGACAAGTTTTAAGCTGAGGTAATATGCTCTTCCTTCTCTCTCTGTTCATAGTTTAAAAATATAAAAAAAACCCATTAAAACAACTCAAATTAGCAAACATGGTGAGCTATGACTTTCTAACGAAATTATGAAAAACGTCGGAAAGAACTAACATACTTGTTATGAAAAATATTTTTTGACACAAGGCCGTTCTCAAAATTCGTACATAACAAGATAGTTCACTCCTCTCTATGACTCAATTAAAAAAGTGTCCTCAAAATCCCGTGGCGCCCTCTTCGAAAAAGTGCGGACTTTGTGAACAGAGTTACCCTACTTGTGTGAAAAACAATAAAAGCGAAACTAACAAACTGTGCCATTCCTATTCTTCTTCAGCAGAAACGAAAGAGAGCTTCAAAACAAAGACTTGCAGCGACATCTGAACTAATGCACGGACTTCTGCGAACACTTTTTTGGCCGAGTGAACTATCTTGGTATGAACGATCTTTGCCATTCTGCAGTTCTTAAAGCTCTGTGCTGGAAATGGTAAGGTTACGGTAAGTACAATGCCTAAAGAGGAAAAAGCCAAGACGACCTCAGTCCATTAGTCCTGAAGCCTCATCAGTAAGCTCAGCACTTTGGCTTTTTTCACATTCCACATCAGAGGATGACATCAAGATAGGATCTGTAAACACAGTGACAGAGAGAGAGAGAGAAATATGAGTTGGAAGGTTTAATGAATTACCGCAGTTTCTTTCATCTACATGTACAACACTTAAAACCAGTAATAGAGGATGGAAAATCCAAAAATGCTGTTTTCTTTAATTCTCAAATCCACTGTTCTACTTTGTGTCCCTAACGGTTCAATCATTATATGCCTGAATCAAAGTTATTTAAAACTTGGTCTAACATTGTGTCCTTGGAAAAACACTTTCCAAGAATTTCCCCATTTTTCCTATTAGAGATGGAAAATAAATTTGGAGGTCCCACCTCTTAAATAATTTGACAGCGTAGCAAGGGAAGTTACACCTATATAATTTTGAAAATTACAGCAAAAAGCTAGAACCCACTGCGCAAATAAAAACAAAATTAACTTGATAATCAATAGCTTTGTGCCCCCTGACTGACCTTTCAGACTAGTCATGAGACTACTGGTGTGAGTCGGTGAGGCCACGCCCATGCCCAGGTCCCCTCCAGCCTCAGAAGTGACCGTCTCAAACACATCATGGCTCATGATATCCTGCTCTCCTGTCACAGGCTGCAGGAGATCCACCAAGAATACTCAATGAACAGCATGTACATTAGGCATAATTTCTACACATAACATAAATGACAAATATACAGTCGAAACAATCCAATATGGCCACCACTTCCCTACCCTAGAATACAAAGCTCTATCTGTTCAGTACCTAGTTTTTCAGTTGGAAAATGTGTCATTTTATGAAACAGAAATCATTTTATGTTTAAACAATGAACAAAAAAAACATCTAATAAAGATTCAATAGAACTATGAAGAAGGTATGGAAGCAAATGTATGTGTTAGAACTATTTTGAAGTTTAAGACCATGTCATAAAAACAACTACATCAAATCAGACTTTTCTCCCTCTCTCTCATTCACACCCAAGAAATTCCTTACCTGACCATGAAACTCAGACACTGCAACTATCTCCTCACTTCCAGACTCAAAAGTATTTGGTATTTCACTATCTAGATGTTCGCTACTTGACAGTGTGTGCAAGCCTGTGCAGAAATGGATATCAACATCATGAGTAATTTTCAAAAGCATTTCTCTTTATGACAGGTGAAATCTCAACAGCTCTACTCAGTTCTGAAAAGGAGAAAGTGGAAAAAAACCCTAAAAACCTTTGAGCAAACCAACTAGCAGCTGTGAGAAAAAGATTATACCCAGCTCTAGCTACAAACTTTCAAATCATGAAAGATTCCCTTGCATTCATCTATTTAGTCTAGATAAGCCGACTCTTTTCGTCTTTAGGTACAAAGCAGTAGTCAAATTTACACCTACCACTGGATGCATGACTACAATAATATCATAACACTAACATCTGTGAGGCGTGCTGACAAAATGAGTTACTTCTCGCAATCCACAAATGGAGATAATGGCCAAAAATCAACACTTGGGTAAAATTTGTAGATTTTTTATTGATGTCATATTCTTTATGTATAACATGCCTTATATTACTTCATACTTATAAACTGTGAAAACTTCACCTATAAGCGTGATGTATCTATTTCCGAAGGGCTTGAACCCGAGAAGTAACTCATTTTGTCAGCATGCTTCTCATATACCAGAGGCCAAAATGTAATAAAACTGTATTCTTAAACGTTTTTCCCCTTTTCTTCATTTTAACAAAATTAGTGTTTAAAATTAATGCCAGTCCACTTGATGGTCTACCGCAATAATTCATTCCACTATAGGTCCCGCCAGATTGACCACATTCTATCTGTGCTGTGTCAGTGGGTTAAGGTTAGGGTTGTGGATTGTTGTAGACTTTCAAGTGGATGAGCTGTGAGACTGGTCTGGTGGTAGTAAGTATATAAGTTTATTCAGTGTTTAAGGACAACGACTAACCTTGGTCAGTCTGTACAAGACCATCGGCCGCCACTTGGATAGTCATCTCCTGACCTTCGACCCCCTCTTCCCCTTCCCCATGGATGCCAGCTGAACTGATAATGACCTGCTGTTGGCCGTTTAGCTGGATATTCTCCCCCAAGCCAGGCTGCCAGAAATGAGAGGAAAAAAAAAGATTAAAATGATAATAAAAATAATAATAATCACCGCATTCAGATAGCGATTATCTGTGCTGTACATACAGCATTCTCTATGAGCTTTGCAATTAATATAAATGAGTGAGTACACCCAATTGAAATGGAGCCATCGGCATGCTCCATGTGTTTTTGCTGTTGCAACGACATTTTTTGCCAACAGAAAAACTGACATTGAATGTCCAGGCAAAAGCAAAAATGTGCGGTGCATGCCAATGGCTCGATTTCTCTGATGTTGAGTGAAATTTACTATCTTTCTTGGGTGACAATGATCAAATGTTATTGCCGTCTTTGATAAACAAAATCTTAAACTTCATTAAAAAACACAGAATAGAAAAAGTCAGCCATGTGGTGGCGGAAGAAATACCAATTTTCTGTTTTTTTAATGTTGGTGCTGGGAACACACTAACTGAAGCACCAAAATGCTATTTTTTATTACATGACCTACTTTTTAGACAACTTAGTATCTCACACGTGAAAGGAAAAATGTAAAGACTCAATAGACTAGATTTTATATGCAATCAAAAAGTGGTAGCTCTTTTAGATAGCCAGTAAATACATCTAAATATACACATATATACATACTTTAAGAAATATATTCGACAGTTGAAATTGTCTAAGACTGCCACCCATTGATGAAGAGAAAAGTCCAAGACAGGAGGACGTCTTGGACAGTGTCATTATAATATTTTTTTAAAACTAAAAAGGGGGAAATGAAAAATGACCATTTGTACAAGTGCTAGAGCACATTCGAATATATAAATATCAAGAGTTGGAAGAATCTTGTCTTACCGCAAGAGTGTGCACGATGATGTGACCCTCCCCGCTGAGAATGCCCTGCGCTGTGCCATCCGCCGCATTGCCCGCCTGAGCAACAGCTCCGATCACCTGCGGGGTCCACTGCTGAAGCACCTCAAAAGCCTGGAAGCCACCTTCCTCCTCTGAAGGGCAGTAGGACAGAGCTAGAGAACTGCTGCCATCTACGCCAGCTGGATAAAACAAAATGAAGTTTTTTTTTAATGGATAAAAATATATGTAGGCCTATATCTGTATAAATGTGTATATTTTAAAGAATATATTCAACAGCTAAATGGACATTTTCAAAGGTTCCAATTTTGTCATTCCAGTGAGTACAGTGAAGAATTAGAAACAGTACATTGTGAACATCTTTTATATTACAAGATATCTTAACTCCTTCACAAATGAGCTCAGCTTCCACTACATGTACATTCTACTTTCTTAAAATGTATAGGTTTATGACCTATATTTGCTTGGTTTGATTGTTTCCAAGCATTTTCCATTTATACTATGAAATCATGCAATTACAGTGACACCATAGGCTAAATGTTAACGACCCATGAAGGGTTAAGAAAGCAATGAACCCTTACCCCTGATTTAAAAGAACCTATACAACTTATGCAGATTGATTACTGTGAGGATTTAAGGCTTTCTACACAGCATCAAAACATGTGAAAGACATCACATATAATAAACAGTGGCTTTGATTATTTTTCAATTCTATTCCAGATATTTTACCTAAAAACTGACTCATTTCATTTTTACACCCATACAACTGTTATGAATTGACTAAGGGAAAATCATACATGTGATTGAGACAGGAAAGCAGTTCTTGAAAAACTCTGATTGCGACTCTCCCTTAATGGTTCTGGTTCCAGCCTTCGGCTTCAGGTTCCAGTAAATGACTTGTTTCATCTGTTCCAGAAGAGCTGTCAGAATACAGAAGAAAAAAAATTCACATCATCACTAAATACCACAAAAACTAAATGTCACTTAAACAAAATATAATAAATGAACAACTAACAAAACAAGGTAGGCACTGATTTTGTCACAAAACAATGCATATCAACTGCTTAATAAAAGATGTCACGCCATACCTCATTTTGAGAAGTGAAATATGATGGTGTATTACACTAAGCAGTTGACATAGTCACACCAACAGAAAAGGACACCATCTGTCTGAGGCAAACCAATATCAAAGTAGAATCTCAAGACTCCCATTGTAGCACACAGAATGCCTTCCGAGTAGGCTTCAAAGAAAAGTAATGTAAAAAGGCTTAAGGTGCAGCACCGCTACAATCACATAAAGTAGGAGCCCACATTTGTAAGGTCCAGTTATGATTAAATACATATTAAAATTACATTTTTTATAGCAAATGGAAAGAGTAGAAATGTGATAAATATATATTTCAAAGAGGGGTAAAAAGCCCTACAAAACTAACACCAATGATGACAACTCTCTGAAAATTGAAATATCTATCATCACAACTCTCTTATTATGTGCACTACATTTTACAGTTAGAACATCTACATGAATATCTATCATTTCATGAAATTTCAAAGAAAATATAATAATAAAAAAAAAAAAATCAACTTCAGCTGAAGGGAAAAAGATGTAAAATAATAGTAATCTGTTCAAGACAACCCCTCATTAGTGAGGAAAAAATTTGTCATCTTGGACAGGTAGTCCTTTTCGTCAGTCATTATCATATTATTGAAAAAATGCAAGAGGGGAACGGGAAATGATGGTAGGTACAGGTGATTGTCTAGGACAGGTGGTCGTTAGAGCAAAGTTCGACGGTACTAATTAAAAGTACTGGTTGGTACCTGGATAGCTGAGCTTGTTGTAGTCAGCAATGTGTCTCTTCAGGGCCCACCATTTGCCCCTTAGCCACTGAGGTGACCTCACACTGTGGACAAGAACAGATTTTTGCATTTAAAAAACATGACAATCTTAACTCTTTAAGCCCTGAGTTTTTTCCACCGTTTCCCGGAGTTTTTATCTACAGTCACCTAAACCTGGTACACTTTGTCTCATAACCCCAAAAGCTTGCCTCCAACTTCTAAATAGCGGAAACAAAGGCAGTCATTACTAAAAAAACTTGCTCTGAAAAACAAGCATAAACTAGCACTGAATAAAACGAAACAGTTGTCACTGGTACAGGACGCTCCCAGCGTTCGATGGGGAACAAGGTTATTACCGCCGGAAGCTCCCAGCGTCTGATGGGGTTCAAAGAGTTAAGTCAAAATAGATGTGGGGAGTAAACGAAAAAGGTTTTGCAGTGATAAAACGACTGACTGTTACGTGTGTGTTTGTCAGAACAGGTGATAGCGTGAGTCTCAGTACATTTTGCTGTTATACAAAACAGTTCATGGTGCCACTGAAAATGGATGTTCAGACAAGGCAAAATACAGAATGGCATAAGTATGCATGTTAATTTAATTTTAGTGAGAATTTTTACAGCACTTGTAACATAAATGGGTCATATAAGTGCCGAAGATTAGAAGTTTAACGAAAGAGTAACATACAAAGAAAAGAAGGAGGAGAGATAAGGACGATAGATGTTTAAGTGTGAGACAAACTAGACGATGTCAAGAGACAAAATAGATAATGGCTTGAGCAAAAATATGTGCTGGTGTAAGACAAAATAGATGATGGTGTGAGTCAAAACAGACATTGGTCCTAGACAAAATTCATGTTAGTATTCAGGAGACCAAATGATGGTGCTACTCAAAATAGAGGGAGCTGTGGACCAAAGAAGATTTGAGAGAGAGGCAAATGGATGTTGGTGTGAGACAAAATAAAACATAAGTGTGACAAAGAACTTAGACTATGCAAAGCACTCTTTATCCACCACTGTAGGGTACAATTACCACAATTCTTACAAAAATATATTTTTAAAAAAATTGAAAGTCATTGAAAGTCCCCTTTCCTCTCACTTACATATAAAAATAAAATTCTGCCTATAATACACACAAGAACATTCTTCTTTTCTTAATTATTTCCTGTAAAGTTGCTATGAAGTTTATTTGCTTTTTATATTGCTGAACTGAAAACAACTTTAACAAAAATTTTTCAAAAAGGTACCTTTTCCAGTCTTGAGACAGTGCTACCCAGTCAATCTCTGAGTCATTGTTCACGTTCATATTGGACACCCTGAAAGAGGTAAATAAAGATACAAGAGGGGCATTATTGATAGGGACAGCTTGAGACTACAAAACTATAAGTTCTCACCAATGCTTTATGTCTTGACACAATATGATTGGACAAACGAAAGTAAAGCTTAGGATTTTGTGTATATCAAGGTAAAATCCTAAAAACAGTTTAAAACTTCTCTACCACGAGCCGCATTTTGCAGCTTGCGGACGTGGCCTTGCCGGACCGAGAGCCGCAAAATACGGCTTGAGTGGCTCGCTATCTATTCCTATCTAGTAATGAAAAGACAAAAAGAAATAGTCGATTTCATATTACACCTTCAATATTGCATAATCAGTTTTAGAAACCACAAACTAATATAATTGGAATGAATCTTCAATATTGTATCACCATTTGATAAATTATTTTTTAACCTTCAGTTTGATGGGCCATATGATATGGTTTGTGTGTTTGGATGTTTTGACATTTTTCTTTGGTGGGGTAAAGGCAAATAAAAATAGGTCAGTGAAAAGCCCTGGGCCAGTGGTGCATTTTGGCCTGGTAGGAAAGGAAATAAGTGCTTTACCATGGTAAGAGGCTGAATGTTTTTGTCTTCATGAACTATCTTGACTTATCTCTCTCAAACTGTACACAGATAACTAAGTAAGGATAAAATACTATGTCAACATTATGGGAGCAGAAACTGTTTGCGTTTATCTTTCTTGTACTCACATTTAAAAAAAGTCTAAAAAGCTGACCTACTGAAATCCAGTCTAACAAGGAGAAGTGTGAAAAGAAAAGCTTACTTCTCAATGAGCAGTTGGTCATCATCCCGAGTCCAGTCTGCCCCACCCTGCTGTTTCCAGTTGAGGTAGTTGAGCCATTTTGTTCTGCACTGTTTCTCTGACCGAGTACCGACATGTTCCGCTACACTGGCCCATGACAAGCCAGACGTGATGCTCTCAGCTAGAAAGAATTAATTTTTTTTAACTTTAAAAGGTAAAAGTAAAACAGATTTCAGTATGCTGTTTCTGTTTAAAACTGACAAATGGATTAAGCCAAACTCACCAACAAAGAAAAGAACAATTTCAAAGATTCATTTTGGGATTTGAAAAACACAACCTTTTATCTACCCTAGTAGAAATTCAGTTAGCAATGATATAAATAAATATTCAGAGCATGCAATATAACACAAAACAAAATAAACTTAAATTTAAAAAAAAAGTCAACTGAAACACAAGACTCACAAGGTTTCACTCCTGTCAGCTTGTATACGGCATCTGCCAGTCTTGCCTCCTCCTCTGGATACCATTTGCCTGGTAATAATTTCAGAACATTTAGTTTTATCGTTTTGGTCCAAATCACATACATGACATTACTTGATTAAGTTCTTAGCTTCCTCACCTATCATAACACTTACATTAAAAGACAATGATCCAAGAACAAAAAAAAACCCAAATCTGATATTTTTTGAGACTTCAGGCATCAATAAGTGCCAAAAAAATTCTAAAATTATGCAAACTGAGCCCAAAAATGGGAAATTATGCAATTCTCTTAATTTTAACAAAGAATGAAAAGGAAAATAATAAGAAATTATGCAAAATATTACCAAATTTGGCTAAATTATGCGAGGTGCATAAAATCCCGGGGACAGAATAAGGGACCATTTGTTTTAAAAGTTACGATAAGGTTAGTATCACCTGGCTCTAAATACTTGAACTTTATCTAGTTTTGAAAATTACTGCTTTCAACTCAAAGAGCAGCACTTGGGACTTTCTTTCCTTCTTTGTTTGGGGGGGGGGGGGGGGGGGGGGGTTGAGGGAAATGCTGAAGTACTTTTTGAAAACTATTTGCAAATATTTAAAATTTCCTTTTCTGTACAACTCATAGCTGCCACTCAGAAATTTTCAAAAAGGAGGAAATTCACTCGAAAGCGTACGCGTGCTCTCCGAAACCAGTGAGATCCAAAGGCAATATATACTGAAAAATCTAGCCTACGGTTTTGGAAGGGAAAACTGTCATATTGTTAACCATAGGCAACTGAATTAAAATGTATTTGAAAAAAACAACAACAACAAAAAACAACATAAAGGCAGTAAGTTGACTAACAAGCATTCGAGTCAATTTGACACAGTTTGGACTTGGTGACTAAAAATCTAGTGTTTTTTTGCCAGCTGGTGTCTCATAAAAAGATTTCTTTCACTTTAAACGTGTACATACATAGACGTAGAGCAGTATCGGATCAAGGATACACAGGCACTCCTGTACAATGGCGGTCCCGTTTGCACTTAGTGCCCCTGTAGTGTGTTTCTTATTTAGAGATAAACTGAATTAAAATTATAGCCTAGGCTATCTAATCTAGATCTAGATATATCTAAATATGTGTAGATCTAAATTATATCTAGAGATAGATTTTCTAGATCTAAATCTAGATCTAGATTCACTTCCGCAGCAGCCACAATAGCCGTCATGTAAACAAACGGGACCGCAATTGTACAGGACTGTAACAGGAGTGCCGCGGGCCGCGGTTTCTTTCGCAAAAAACAGCTAGAGAATCTAGTTCAATTTTCTAATGAACTTTTCAAGTCGCACACCGGCTGCTTCTTTCTCATTCCAGCTCCTTTTATTTTTGCATTCTGAATCAATTTCTCTCGAATTTCCGCCAATTTCAATGACAACTCGGCGCGCTAACGTCCCGATGCCCGATCGACACTGTGTTGCTCCACAACAATAAACAATGTGAAACTAGCGCTGGGCCTAGAAGAACGGAAGTAGAAAGCTACGGGCGGACATGCGCAGACCGCGTTTTCGTCTCTCTCCCGGTTCGGTGTTTTCCGCGTGGAAAAAAAAGTATGAAATTTGCGACCAAGAGCGGTCCAGCGGAGGAAGGAGGAAAGTTGCGGGGAAAGCTAGATGTAGCGGAGTTTCCGCTATTTAGCGGGAAAGTGGCAGCTATGAACTCTGAGGAGAAAAGCGGGAATAAACTCTTATCATTCCTTACTCAAATAATCCTGATTTGAAAAAATACACACTCATATGGCCTTATGCAGTTGCGAGTGCCGTAAAACCTCTACTAAAACAAACAATTAGAAGAAATACTTAGCTTTACAACATCCTGCTGTGATAAGTACATTATATTATACTAAGTAGCATCTCATGAAAGTCGGTTGACTTTACGAAGTGCTGATATGACAATTGAAGTTACTCACCAGATTTACAGTTGTCTTTCATCAGCCGGCATTTGTCTTTCACAGAAGAAGCACTACGTCCTAAGGCCACACCAATGGCCGCCCAGTCATTTCCATGCTTCGCTCGTAAACTGATTGAGTAATCAGAATCAATTTGTATTAATCAAGTAATAAAAACAAACAACTCAGCTTTGTCGTTACAAGTAGACATCACAAAGAGAGAAAGAAATGAAACAAACTCCCAAACAATCTTGATGTGTCGCATTCTCCACATATATACATCCAAATTAAATCCAAACATAAATCACAATAAAATGGGACCTTTGTATTTGAAAGCACGATGTACAAATACAATTACATACAAAAATAAGGAGGCATATGATCATCTTTTTCTTTACATATTTGTCCCGTCAATAGCTCACAACTGTTGAAGACTTTAAAACAATGAAGTATCCTTTCTGTACTTCCTTAGAGCTATTACATAAAGTCATAATCTTTGAGTTTTTATATAACTATAATAATTCTAAAGTAGGAACTGTCTTCATTACTAAAACCAGCTAAACCAAAATACAGTTGAATTTGTCCAAGACACGGAAAAAAATGTTCTTTTTAGACACATGGTCTTCTTGGACAGAGCATTTATAATACAACAAAAATGCAACGCGTTAGTAGGAAATAGTCATTTGTACAAGTGATTGTCTTTGACAAGTTGTCGTAGAGAAAGTTCGACTGTATTTAGTTCTGACATACGTATCTGAACTTACACTCTCAAATGCTTCATTTCATTAGTTGAGTATTTCCCTCGGTGATTCTTGCGATCATACATTCGTGTCACTCGTCTGTACACAGAAAACAGAGGGCGGTGTATTCCCAGGGCTATAGTGCGATAGAAATCCTTCCTCTCATCTTTGGACATTTCAAATATTACCTCTGCAGGATCTTTTATGTTGTGTTCCTGGAAAAAAAGAAGTCAAGAAGTTGAGTCCTGTTGAAGTTTACATTTGGCACAAAAGATAAGAAAAGACTGACAGATATTAATGGAAAATCCCTCAGATGAATAATAAAGTTGTCTTTTTTATCACCTTATCCCATTGAGTTTAAAAAAATTTATTTAAATATTGCAATCATTAATGACCTAGTTTTCACCGAGTGTTTATATTTTTGCTCCATGAGAAGATAAATTCAGAAGAAGTTATAACTGATGAAGTGTTTTTATATTAAATAATTGTAGGAGAGTCAAACCTTGCAATAATTGTTGATGTTGGTCTCTAGAACATCGACTTCCTCTTTAGTCCACTGACCTTGTTTCCACTGATGACCTGAACACAGATAACAGCGTGATTGAAATAGGCAAAAACAGTTATTGGAGCTCTTGTATGTGCAAATTAATACAACTTAAAAATTTTATTTTTTTAAAACAAAAACTCAGATTTCACCTTTAAGCAAAATTACTGGTTTCTGTGGTGTAGCTACCAGTTAGGCCTTTTAACAACCTGACAGGGTTGAAAGGGGCATTGGGCCCTCACAAATTCTACTAGTACACTAGCATAAACTGCACATTAACATACGCATACAATAAGACAATATGCTTTAATTTTTCATTTTAGAAGTTCAAGTCTTGACCAAAAAAATCACATATTAAAACAGTCTTAGCAAGCTCAAATTTTCCAAGAAAGCAATGATGCGGACAGACCTTCTTTGTGCAGGGCGTTCTTGTCATCCCTGGTAGTAAACCATGCTTGGTTTATCCCATCAGTATTTGCGTTGTGTGTTGACTTCACACGAGAGGAGGTCGGAGATGTAGCAGGTGCAGCAGTCACAGGAGAGGACACACTGGCAGGTCTCTTTCTGCTCACTTTCACATTCTGAGATGAAAAAACCCACCACAAGAAATTGTCAAATTTTTAAACAGTTTCTCAAACTCCTAAAGCCTGTGACAAAGACACATTGCATGCACGTAATTTCAAATACAAAATATCTGGTACCTAAACAGTAAACAGAGTCAGCACTCATTTAGATTTGAACCTTTAATTTCCACATGTAAGCTTTGAACCAAGGGGGCCCAAAGGAAAAATGAAAAAAATTCTGAAGAAGGAATTTGAAAACAATGTAATACAATAGACCTCACTCAACACAACAGTTATCGCATACATCATGTCAGCTTAAACAATTTGGTAACCATCATCATCATCATCCAGTGCCAGATCTGCGACAGACATCAGCGATCATGGTTCTCCATTCATTCCTTTGCTCGGATGCTTTCAAAAAAGCTACGTTTCCCTGATCTTTCCCTGTTATCCAATTGTTTAGGTTCCCTAAGTATGTTGTTCTGAGCCTACCCCTGCCTCGCTTGCCCTCAATTTTGCCAGTGAGAGTTAGATGTTCAAGACCCTTATGTCTATTTATATGTCCCAAAAACTGCATTTGTCGTTCCCTGATTCTTTTTAACATTGAGCGTCCATTTAGTAACCATTATTCAATAAATTGAACACTGACAGGCAGGAATGCAAACATTCTGTCTTTCTTTTCCGCTGCCTTCTGGTCAGTTAAGCCTTGTTCTGACAGCCTTAACAAACCTACCAATGGCCTGTGTGTGGTAGCTTGGCCTTGCAGAATTCACGACAAACATTTATATAAAAAGACTGAAACTTACATAGTTATTAACAATCACTCCTCAAAATGAACAAGTTTTTCTTTTCTCTACAGTCAATTGGGTGACCTAAATTTAATCGATTTGATTAAATTTGCAACAAGAAATACTACAAAGCTAGAGTCCACCAAGCTGCAGCTGAAGCTTATTACTCTTGTCCAGATTAACACACATTTTATTACACATAAACTTCTCATCATAAGTCAATAGTCTTTCTACTACATGACTTCTCAAAACATATCATGGACACATAACAAAGAACCTGCAAAGTCTGGTCGGCAATTCCTAAAGCACTTCATCTCAAGAGCTTCTTATATGAATTACATGAGGCTTTTGACAGTACGGTCGGACCTACTCTAACAACCACCTGTCCAAAAGAATCACATATGTACAAATGACCACTTCAAACTTCCTCCCTTGCGTTTCTTTATATTTTATAACAACACTGTCAAAGAGGACCACCTGTTTGAGATGATCACTTTTTCTCCTAACTAATGGCTGGTTGTGTTTGACAAGTTTGACTGCTGTGTTTGCTTTATCTTGTCTTCCATTCCAATACATCTCATTAACTGGAAGTAGAACTTCCTTATATATTACTTTTAGTTTATATTTCTAACAATAGCAAACAAATCAAGTACAAAATGACACCATCAGATGGCAGACAACTTACAGTGGAGTTCGCTTAAACCATGGGATCGATGGATTTTCTTTAACTTAGCCCGGTTTTTGGTTTAGAGAGGTTGCTCAAATAGAAGAATTAAAAAAAATTAGGGATTTTCTTTTCTTTCGGTTTACTGCTGTTTTCCGATTAACAATGTTCATTTGAAGCAGACTCCACTGTATTACTGCGTGTACATCAATTGTTTGAATTCAAAATGAACTTATTTACCTTAGCAGGAACAATCTGTTGGGTTGGTAATGCTTTGACCGAATCAGAATTCTCAGAAGAATCATCTGTAGTAAATACACACCAACAGGACAATAAAATATCACTTTTGCAAAAAATAATGAATTAACTTTTCACTGTGTAAATAGAAACCAAAAATATTTTTTAAGTGCTATCATCTCTTGAGTCTAAAGGAACCGTGTCATGATCAATAAAATTATAAACCGACTGCATAAAGAGCCTATTTCAAGAACAATATTCTGCAACAGTGTTTGGAATGACATCATACATAAAGAAAAAAAAAGTCTCTGAACATGGGGCATAGGATCCCACAAGATACAAAAGACCATACCTACTTATTGATTTCAACTCAATGTGAAGTTGCATAATCAGTCTTTGTCATCTCTTGTCCAAAAGTAAAGACAACAGTCGGACTGGAAGGTCATGACCAAGTAGACTTATCGTCAAAGAATGAAACTTATCTTCGGCAGAAGATCTGGACCTACTGGTCATCTTGGTAAAATAGCTATGCTATAACAATACTATAAACCACTCAATACTAATACAGATTTCTACATTTACCTGCTACAGCAAAAACATATGTTTGCCCATCTGCTCCTTCAAAACGAATGTATTTCGAAGGCATTCCTTGTATTTCCACAGGTTCTGCATGAAAAAAGAAATGAGAGATATCCAAAATAAAATACAAAATTAGAGAGAACATAACTAAACTGAGAAAGATTCACTTTTGAAAAATTCTTCCCATGTGAGTATAAGACATGGCTGCTTTCATAAATGAGATCACATACTTTTTTTTTACCTTATAAAATGAAGTCGCACATTAGCCAAGAATGTTACTGTCCTATCTATCAAAGTTAGCCTTAAAATCAAGTATTCTGTAGAGAATTCAGAAATGTATCAAATTTGGGTATAATACAAAGATGGCGGAGGAAGTATGGTACCAACAAAGACTGCAATATTTCAAATTTTTAAAAGGTGGATAATAATAATAATAATAGATAGCATTTGTATAGCGCATATCCCCGTTCAACAACAGGCTCTATGCGCTTTACACTATATTATTACCCCAGCAGACCACAGAACACTCCGAAACATTCTCAGCTTCCCGGGAAGCATACAGTGCAAGCAGCTGATTAAGCGCTCAAACACTAACAAACTGACAAGATCTTTCGCTGTCTATAGCTGGGTACCCATTCCCACCTGGGTGAAGTGAGGAAAATTCGTGTAAAGTGCCTTTCCCAAGGACACAACGTCGGGCCCTTGACGGGATTCGAACCCACGACCTTACGGTTGCGAGTCCGAGAGCCTAACCACTAGGCCACCGACGCCACACGGATACACTAAATTTGACTCTCATTATCCCACTAGCACCCCCCCCTCCCAATAAAAAAGGGAACTCTAGGAACTGAAAATTAGATATGGCACTGGTACTGACACCCCTCCCCCCCAAAAAAAACAACAACCCCACAACAACAAACAACCACAAAAAAATATTTAAAAATCAGTTCTTTATTAAAGTGGCTCTCAAAAGCTTTCACTAACTCTGAACAAATCATCATAATGCCAATAACAGAACACAATAAGGAGCCCATTGGTAATTAGGCATATGCTGTTGAAGATACCCATCATACATTAAACTGTCTCACCTGAGTTCTGAGCTTTGTATTGTTACAAGCAAAAATCTTATAGCAAATAACTTCAGGCTCATGGTATTTCTGTTTGTTGGTTTTGTTTGAGTAAAAAGAAGACCATCGGCACAATAACGATCATTTAGTGCTGGGAAAAAGTAAGGCAGACAGAAACAACAGAGGGAAAGTGAAGAAGTACAACCTAAAAGTGGTGCCCTCCAACCACCCGCTATGATATATTTCTACAACGACTAGAACTTCATATTTACATACAGTGATGACTTTCATAAACAGGGCCTCCTACTCAGGTCATAGCTAAAGCAAAAGAACTGTAAATTCATACTTTCCTCAGACAAGGAGCAATTTTTAAGAAAGATTTAAAAGTTTTTCTACTGCAGATGCAATGGGCTCTAAAAACCTTTTTGGTCAGTCTTATCCAAGTAAAATTTAGAAGAAAAAAAAGTAATCAGAAAATATCAAGAACCAACGCAAATAGCTATTAATTATTAATCATGCCAAATAAAAGTATAAATATCATTACCTGCACCACCCTCTGCTGTTCTGGTGAGAATGATGAACTGCTGTGGGACTGCTTGCTGTATGCTCTCAGGAACACTCGAGTCTGCAGACTCTGAGCTAATAACTTCAGTTTTCATGACAGTACCCATCTCAGTATTCTCATTAAGTTCCGACGTTTCCACTGTGGGTTCTGAATCTACTTCTGTCACAGTGACAAAATGATCTAAACCTCCTATTTCTGAGATCTCTGTGGGCTCTGATTTGAATTCTACAGGCATTTTCTCTTCATCCCCATCATGAGCTAGCTGTACAAACTCTCCGTCGGGCATGTTGACCTGCTCTGTGATCACTGGCAGCATGGATGAGTCAGCTGTTTTGACTTCCTCAACCACATCTTGACCAGCTTCCTCTGTCTCCTCTATCACTAAAGACGTTGATTCAAATGAGGACGTACTTGGTCCATCTTCCATCATTCTGACACCCAAGACCTGGGAAAAAAGAAATTGACAATAAAGAAATTGACAATAAAGATAACTTTATCTAAAGCAATGTAACTTTCATTGAAGCAGTTAAAAAAAACCTAAAACAACCCTCGGTTTAATACTACTGGTCTATCAGTGTGATGAACAAGTTTTTTAAAACATTTTGCTTCCTGCAGGTTACTAAAGTCGGCGAGTCATGCACTATTCTCACAACTGGACCATGACTGCATTGCAAGCTCTGACTTAATAGAAATCACAGGTACATTTACCATATTTACGTCATTTGAGCACCATCAAAACGTTTAATTTTAAAAAAAGTAACAGTTCAGATTTTAGTTTGAAGAGTTTTGAATAACTATATAATATATATATAATGAATAGAAAACGGATATTTCAGTTCTTGGTCTCCAGTGATACTGGTTTGAATTTGTCACGCTCCACGGTATAAAAGGACATTTTTTTTACTGTTGCAAGAAAACAAATGACTCAAACATTTCTAATCTTGGATAGCACGTTTTTTCCTTATCATCGATCAACATATGTGTGCATAATGTCAAACTGTTTTGATTTGAAAATTATAATAATTGTATTAATATAATATATATCGCATTATTCACGCTCTACAACATATTCTATGACGCTCACATGACCTTATGCAGTTGCGAACACCTTACTAAAACAAAAAAAATAAAACAACATATTCTATGTTACAACCACAGTGGTGTCTTCCTAACAGCGATCCCCATGGGAAGTAACCCTTGGTTGCCGTTAGGCGGAGGTTGCTGCTACAAGAATTTTCAAAGGGGGTGGGGTGGGGGGGTGATCTCCCGCCCATCCACCCCCTTCAGACATACACACACACACACGCGCATGGGCTTGTTCGTGCACGAGTCCTGCTCGCAGGGGCGGTGATGTTCTGTTGGAAAGTGACAAAATAGGCAGCAACAGCTTTCAAATGAGCCAGTGTTCGATTATAATGTTATGCGAATTGACTTAGACTTTTAAACTTACCCCCCCCCCTCCAGCTGAGACTGAGAGACTTCAAGAAAGGTGGTTCTTGGCCAAAGTGTGCGAACCGAGTTCCTGTGTTCAGTGAAGAAAATCTAGGTCTCTATGGTTTGTTTGATTGACATAACCTATATACAGTATAATCCATTTTTATCGACATTTTGACATATCGACATATTTTCCAATTACGAAGTTTTTCCTTCAATATCTTCACTAAACAATTTCTCTTATATCGACTTTTTTCGGCCCACTCTGTTTTATCGACCCGCTCTGCTTTATCGACATGTTTCCTCGGTACCTGGCTAAGCCCATGAACATAAATGGGGGTGGGGGGAGCCACGTTTACGGTCAACGCATCAGTTCTTCATTAAGTCCGCATACCCGCCAAGTAGCCTATATTCGACACAATAGGTTATGTAGGGCCTACACATCGCAGTCTCCAACACAGTACAGTGCCTCACAGTTGTGAGCGTCTCGCGTGCTGGGCATCACCTCCCTACCCCCACTCCCGACCGCTTACTCCCCTTCCCAATCCCATTCTCAGTCTGTCTCTGGCAAGTAAGTGCCATGGTCAGCGAGTCAGTGCCTCGCCTTTCAATTTTCCTCAGCAAGCGGCCATAAACAGGCCTTACAAGGATGCTACAACAAAGTTTGCGCTGGTGTGTAGTGTGCACCTCGTGCTGCTCGGTCTTTGGTACCGTAACTCCAACACCCCACCCCACTCCCCTTGTTAGTTTCAAGAATTAAGGGAAACAACCAGCTTAAAAAAGTAGTGTTTTTTTTACTTCTGACCTCCCTTGTTTTTTCCTCTTTGACTTTGTATTTTCATTTATCGACATTTTTATATACAGTGTAATCCTGAAGGGACAGGTGCAAAATGTCCATTTTAGCAGGATTTTCGCTGTAAGGGATCCAGTAATAAATTCAAGGGGAATAATAAAGAAGTCCTAATCTATGAGTTCTGGGGTTTTTTTTGTTATTTCCCCTGATGATGATTTTGTTTCAACATGACCTCTACTCTAGGTCTTACTTGATCAAAAATCGAATCAGTCTCTTCCTGTAGCGCTAGCGATGTTGACAGCTTGGCGTTGGCAATCAGAAAGAAAGGGCCCTGGCTCTTGGCTAACTCACCCGCTGTGGTGTCCCCCACCAAACCACACCCTGTGGTGCGTTCCTTCTGCTTGCGCACGTCTCACTTTCGCTCCATCCATCACAGAACTGTGACCTCCTCTCCATCCCCGCATTGGAGAAGTGAGAGGCATGGTAAGCCTATCTAGACTAGGCCTAGGCTGGCCTATCACGCGATGCGTCCTGCTTGTCTGCCCATGCCACAACCTCCTTACTCAGTCGCTCCGGCCTTCATTGTTGACACATGGGGGCTCTCCCATTCTTTGTTTCACTAGATCAGCAACAATTTTTTCAATTGGTGAGGTTTTACATTACAGTGGAAACCTGATATAACAGGGATGGTGGGAGTAGAGAAAATGTCCTGTTATATCCGATCCCTGTTAAATCCGAAATGCAAGGAAAGTGGGCATTTGTGGACTAATCTAGCTGTACTCAATCATGGGTAGTTTCCCTAACCACAAGTACCCACGAACATGGGTTTTGGCACCGACTTTCTCCTTGCGTCCTTAAAACCACATCAGAAGAGCTTGGTCCACAGCATCTACAGCGGGTAGTCTCATCTTCTTTCGATCCAGAGCAAACTTTTCATTTGAATTTGAGTATGCTGCCACTATCTTCTCTCTTTCCTTGATAATGGTGGGAATCGACCCTTGTGGAATGTCGAACTGACGACAAATCTCTGCCAGTAGAGCTTGCTTTTTGTCAACAGTCTGGATTATTTCGTATTTTTTGTCAATTGAAAGACATTTTCTCCTGCGCTTGACATCGTTGGTGACCATAATGAAAGAAGTAGGCTTAGATCTAGGCCGACCGGTCGTCCCCTCTCTCTCTCTCTCTTACTTTTTACACATTGTTAACGAGCCTTTGTCCCTGCTATAACCGGTTGGGCTCCGATGAGGCCCTGTTATTGCCGATAACTTTTAATAGAGACAAAGAGGAGGAAAACACGGGGATTTTAAACATCCCTGTTATTACCGGATCCCTGTTTTTTCCGGGCCTGTTATATATGGTTTCCACTGTATGTATAATTGGCCTATGCACTGTGCACAGCAGCAGCAATATTCCGCTATAACCGAATCGCATTTTTGTCTGATTGCACTATAGCAGTATTTTATTTACAAAGATACAGAAGAGAAACAACTGGGTTTTAGAATAGTGTCTTTATAACAGACTTCTCGTTATTTAAGGACTCGTTATAAGTGGATTCCACTGTATCGACATCAAATCCACTTCCCAAAACATGTCGATATATATTTATTGGATTATACTGTTACTGTTAGCTAAAAAGACTAACTGAAGACAAAAACTTTTATGTGCACTTCCAACTGCGACTGCCTTACAGCGAATTTAATTCTCTAATACAGTGGAACTCGGATTCAGCGAAAGGAAACGGATTTCCCGTTTTTAAAAATTCATTAACACTTACACTACTTACAGTACAAGTCGCCAGGCTGTAGTATGCACTCACTATCGCTGGCAACTTTAGTCGCCGACGCAATCAGGCACACTAAACATAATTACACAAGGAATGGACCCACAGCATTAAAGAAAATACCAAAGGAAGACACTCTGTATGATAGATGAAAAATGGTTGATGAACCTCTATGAATTTTTAAAGCATGTTTCTTAGGCTGCCAAGGTTTTTTCATTTTAAAAAATCTACCGACCACGGATTCAGGATTCTAAACAAGTACTTGAGGGTTTTTCACTATGTGAGCCTTCGGTACTGTAAGTGTTAAAATCAATAAAAAATTAAAGTATAACTGTTTTAATGAATACATAAATAAACGAGCAAAGCTTGGATTCAATGAAGTCTCTTGCAGGGTGAACAGCCTACTGCTGATGTAGCTTTGCTCATTTTTCTCTCGTTATACTTTACATATCTGGAAAGGAGTCGTTCAAATATAATCTTACGCCTGGGAGGGGGGTCTTTGACTCCTGTAAAAAAAGTGTAAGAAAGGGGGGGGGGGGGGGGGGGGGGGGGGGGGGTCAAAAAGTCCCCAAAAAGGTGGAAGATTATTGAATAGCCCCAAAGCATCCTGTATCGAGAACCATTATAAATTCGCTTCTATTACAGCCTTTGCCAAAAGGTGGGGGTGTTTAAATGTCTTGCACGGCCAATAAGCAGTCTTTTTTTATACCAACACATGCATTGTTGGCTTACACACATGTCATAGCATGTGCAGGGGGCGGATGGGTGGCCAGCACAGATGTGACTGTATGTGTTTAGTCTGTCTGGGGGGAGGGGGTACAAGCAGTTAGGCGTGGAATGTCAGTACTCAGTTGAGCCACAAACGTGTCATAGTACTCACAGTACAGTCCGTGCCGGCTATAAGCACGCCGGCCTTAAGCACATTTCGGACTCAAGCACGCTAAACGGCTCTTACCAAATTTTTGCTATATAAATTACACGCCTATAAGCACGGTAACTTCGGCTTCAAGCACGCTTAATTTACAAAGCAGTCAATATTTTCATGATGACCCATCGAAGTTCGAACACAGTTTACACCACAACAGTGGAGTGTGTCAAGAGAAACACAAAGAATGCAAGTGATGGACACACACACTCGCACGGGCAGAGAGGAAGGCAGAGTGGCACACAGCCGTTCGCGCAGACATAGGATCTAGCCTAGGCCTAGGGCAAAGCTACACACGATCAAAAAAAAAAAAGAAGAGAGTCGGGGAGATGAGAAAGAGAGGCTGGCTGCGATTTCACCTTTGACCCTCGCTACCCATTAATCCTGATTGTGTATCACGCGCGAGGTGGGATAAAGGCGGTGGTATGAGTGGGACAGCGGGCAGTGGTACGCACAGGCAGTGTGTTATAGTAGGCCTAGTGTGCTGTATCGTGACTGGCCGTCTAAATTAAGTTTTCATTTCCCATTCGACCACAAAACAAAAACAAACAAGCGAACAAAAACTACCATGGCGGGTGTCTAAATAACAGTGCACACTTTTGTGGGACCGCTATAGGCCTACTTACAAACTAAGGGAAATAGCACGAGAAATTTTCTACATGAAAATCTCTGGATTATGTCTACTTCGCACTTAAGCACGCTTCGGCTTTAAGCACGCTTAAAGCTTTCTCCCGATGGCCGTGCTTAAAGCCGGCATGGACTGTAATTTTTTTCCCCTGGGGGCTTCAGATCAATATTACAATGATTTGACTTCGTTGAATTTGAGTCCCCCGTATGTCCTTGTGCACAAACAAATCGAGTCAAGCAACAACTGCAGGTGGTCGCAAGATAGGAAGGCACCGACAACACACACCAGTCCTGCAGCTGATGTTCAACCAAATTTGAAAATGCCCAAGGATGAAGAGATCAGAATAGCTCATTAATTTAGTACCTGAGAAAGAAAAGGGTGCCTCTTTTTAAGTTACCGTCTCTTTTCACATATGTGAAAACAAGACAGTAACAAGACACGAGCCCAACAACATCAAGGATGTCCTGCTCTTGATTCGGGTTCTCTTCGGTTGTTTGTTTGGGAGGTTTGTTTACAAACTAACGACTGGTGCGACAGTCCCCGACCATTTCGCCATTTCAGCGCCATTTTGAACGACAATACAAATTGACCGACGACATTTACAACGAGTATGTTCGCAAATTAGCAGATCAGCCACCAATTAGGACGATAGGGTGGTTTATTATCTTTATGAGGGAGCATCAGCGTCCCTAGTGACATACGAACCCACGTGAGTCACGATTCAATGTTTTCGTCCGGGTGTTTCTTGAAGAACCAGGATGAACAAGGACCAGGATGAAGTTTCTGATCCCTCTCAATGAAACTGTGAGGCGTATTAATATACGATATGTAAATTAGAGCCCCATAGCGAGACCTTCCAAATTAGGCCTAGCCTTCCTTGGCTTGATTCCCAACCGAGGAACTTTTTTTTCGTACTTTTTATTGTAATCTCTGCCACATATATAGATTCTATATACAGATCTACATTCTCTTCTTTCTTCTACCGCAAAGATTTTTAAAAACTCATTCTTTCTGTTGGTTGTATTCACTGCATGTCACGAGGCTCATGTTGTGTAACACTATAATGAACTATAACTTAAACGGTCCGTAGTTCTGTGGTAACTTTAGGTAGCAGAACAGAAACTTTAGTTTCAATTCAGTTGCTTTTGAAAATTCCACCCCATTACTATAAACGGAGCAACCCGGCAAATAAAATCATTTAATGTATCGTTTCTCTCTTCCGTCTATTGAGCAGCCTGGGTGTTACCTTGTGGGGGGGGGGGGAACAATGTATTGGCTGGGCGGTGTGAAGTTTTTCAGTGTTTCAAATCGTATAAAATACATTTCAGGCTCTGCTAATTTGCACCACAGTTAAATTTCTACCATCTAAGATTTTGGTGTTTGCACATTAGAATAAGTAATGTTTTAATCAAGTACTTTTTCTTGTAAATCTTCTGCTCATGAGATTAATAACACCATAGAACCGCTCTTCTATTCTTGAGGAACGTACTTCTTTCCAACAAATTTAGGACAGCCACTACACTTCCACTTCCTCTTGACCTGAAGCCAACGTCACAACAATGGCAGCCACCGGTAAAGTTCTCGTGGTAATTGGACTGTTTCTCCTGCCAGTTCTCACGTATGGTAAGTCACCCATAAATAGATAAAGTGAGACCCGTACACTTGTATTCTCTGGAAGTTAATGTAAGCGAAAAGGTTTACTATTTTCAGTTAGGCATGAAGTGTTACAGTAGAGAAGAGTGCCAGCTCAACAAGTAACTTTAGCAGCAGAAGTAGAAAGTAAGCAGAGCGTGAGAGCCAGCTCACACTCACAGCTGTGCGACAGCATAGCAGATTTTATGGTGTTCGTGCATTGCTGCATTGCCTCTGCGAATAATATGCTGTTATAAAGGGATAATCTGGTTTTGGCCCCAACAATAACTAGATCTAGATCTAAGTCTATGGAATGTGGGTTTTGGCTCCACCGAAGATTACACTTTATCAATATCATACTTTAAATTATGGTTCTAAACTTCAAACGACTACTTTTCGACGCTCGTGCGCGGCGAGAAAGAGATGATAAATCGCTAATAAAATGGAACCTGTGTAAGACGGAATCGCGAGGGAGCCAGAAAAAATTTCGTCCTAGATAGGAATAGGGGATTTTAGACTTTTGTGGGGAGGTGGAGGGGGGTTTTAGAGGCCCGGGAGGACTTCCGTAAGAAAGTGGCTATTCTCACCCGCCGGAAGTTCTCTCAAGATCAACTCCTCCCCTCTTCTCTCTCTCTCTGTCTCTTTCTGAATACTGTCTATCGGTGTGGACGATCAAATTGACCAAAACAAAGTTAAAAAATGATGTTAAAACACAAAAGTAAATTAATTTGGTTGTCTACAAAGATGCTACGGCTATTTAACTTTTCGAATCGAGCCGAACTACGCGGGTCGCCATTTTGTTTTGCCCGGAAATTCTCGCGCTACTCCTCTCTCTCTTTTTCTCTCTCTCTCCACTGCCCACAGACAAAATTGTATGCTTTTAGTAGGCTACAGTTGTAATGGAACGTTTGTTCACGGCACAGAATTCTACAATTTTTCTGTTATCACAGTGTAGAATTCTGTGGTTTAGGGTGAACGCAAAATTTGGTGAACGCGCACCGGGTGAGAATAGCCACAAGACTCGCCTGCACTATTCTCACTTCGGGTGAGAATAGAGGTGGCCCTTCCGTAACACATGCCGTTAAACGTAGAAAAGACGCATCTTTCTGATTGGCTGCTAATTTTAGTACTGTGATGTCATCACTCCCTGGGATACCCACATGGAACGACGTGTTACATTTCGGATTTCCTAGATCTAGATATATATATTATTCACTAATATATTTAAAAAGAAAAAAAACAACTTGACAACTTCAAAGCAGCTCTACAAATTAGGCTTATAATTTATGGGACTGTTGGTCAGTCGGGAGGAGGAGAAGAGAAAAAATAAAAACTGTCCGGGACCGGGATCGAACCTCTCCAAAAATCTTTTGCCCCACTTCCGGCGCAGACGCGCTGTCTATTCAGCCATCAGAACTTCCGATAGAAAGGTGTAGAATCTAGATTAAGCACCATATACATAGACACTTCCATCTTTGGTGCCATGCGGTTGGCTATACTTAGATGTAGTCACGTGATCGGAGGGGTATCCTGATCTGACAAGATGGGCGCCTTACCTAAAAAGAGTTTGCGTCCTTTCTACGTTTAATCGCATGTTTCCGTAACGAGCAACCACTATGAGACAGTGCAGAATTGAGGGGTAGGGGTAGATTTAGGGTTAGCCCTCTTCTTTATTGTGTTTGATGGGGTGGTCGCTTGTTACGGAAGTCCTTTCAAAGGCCCAGCCGGTGGGATCTAGGGTCGCTTGTCCAGTCGACCAGCAGTGGACTGTGGTCAAAATTTCACACCTCTCTCAACTGTCTATCCTCTCTGATAATGACATGCGTCTGTCTTATTTATCCAATTTCTACCAGTGCTTGCATTTCACAGGACCTCTGTTTGAGCTATTAAAAACAGAAACGTTTGAACATCTCCTTTGCTTCTACCCTTAGCCCCACCCATCGGTGTAATAGCACTGTCAACCAATACCACCCCTCACTGCCATCATGTAACAACGATTCGAGGAGCTCTTTTCTCGGCTGGCTGTCTTTACGATCGGGGCGGCATGCATTGGCCAAACTTATTTCACACCTCTCGCCTCCGGCTACCAATGAAAGTTTCCGTGCTGGAGCTCACACCCACACCACCCTGACCATCTTCATAGCTCAGGGCTCACGTAGATGGGGTAACATCTATCCTCAAATTGCACCCCTACTCCCCTTTCTCGCCCGGCAGCATAACATACAAAGTTTAGGGCTGGCAGACGGGACCAAACTTGCTAGTTTTGTTTCAAATCAGGGCTGAGCGGGCAAAGCATTTTCCGTCTTAGACAGAAAGGATTTTTCTTTCCGTTTCCGTGTTGGACAGGTTTCTGTTTCAGGCAGGTAATTAAAGAAGAATATATCAAGGGGGGAGCGGGGAGATTCCACAAAGACAAGTATCCATTTTACACAGGTTTCTGTTTAGGCAGGTTCGACTGTAATTCATTGCAAAACATCAATTTGTGGTTAAAGAAACCCCCCATATTTTTATTAACTCGGGGGGCTTGAATCCCCTTGTTAAAAACAAGTGAAACACTACTGCTCTTTTTGCTCTGAAAAATTACTGCTCAGCACATCTCTCGCTCTCTCTTGGATAAACATTGATGCCGAATATATGTCAGTATCGATATCCAGTACTCTTGGGGCTAAAAACCGAAGAATGCCGTTTTAAGAAATGTTTGTGGAATGACTTATATTACAGATTTTTATTGCCTAGCATCAGGCTGGATGAGAGACAAGAATGGGTTAGGGGTGGCTCAGCCCACGTACTCTGCCATGAATTAAAAACCGACAGTGAGAATGGGTAGGCCTAGTTAAAGTTAAAGTCTAATAAAGTATTTATAGTTAAACCCGGTTATATCCCCTACCTTGGGACAAGCATGAAGCATGCGGTACAACGGGGGTTGACGGTATAACGAGATAGCACTGATTGCCATCTTCACTAATCACATAGAATTGTAAAGAACTACTATTTAAGAGACAAATTACCCAGATTTGATTCATTCGTCTTTCTGTCTTGCGCTATAATCATAGTGCATGCGCAGGGGGGAAACGAGCAGCAACCAATAAATAGTTATAGTGCCGTGCTCCCCGACACGCCCACACAGCCACACGTGTGCAAGGCTGCCCATTCGACCCCAACACACACTGGAGTAGACACGTGCGTGTGCCAACAAGGCATGTGTTGGTATGAAAGAAGGCCACTGATTGGTCGCATGCAGTCGGCTAAGTGAACAATGGTTCACGGTGTGAGTGCAATGGATGGTTTCTGGGAATAGATGAAGTTCGTTCTGGGAGGAAAATGAGCGAAGTCACGTCTACGGGGGCTGTTCACCCTGGAAGCTACCTCGTTGAATCCGACGTCGCTGATTTTAAGTGCTCGTTGAATCTGGGTTATTTTTATTGATTTTAAAGAAGAATAAAAACGGGGAATCTATCTCATCTCGTTGAATCCGAGTTCCACTGTAGTAATTTCCATTCCATGCTCCGATCCGGGGGATTTCATGGGGGCATCTTCCCCTCACCCCCGGTTCCCTGAGGCCCTGATATCACCTTTCCTATCCAAGTATATGGAGGTAACTTGCTTTGTAGTTGGTGATATCGGAGGTGGTATAGTTTATGAGATAACTTTTAGATGGTTCAGGGACTGCATTCCAATGGACAATCCAGTGGTACCAGATTGATATTAGGCTGGTGATGTTGGTGGTAAAATTAATTTGCTTCTGGAGGGTGACTCAAGTTGCTGGAACTGGAAAGAACATTTCTGGTCGATCCAGGCAACTACTAAGTTGCCTTGTTCAGCATGGAATTAATGCTCCAAGAACGCCGTGCTAACACCAGAAATAGGATTTAAGTGATCTGTTTAAAAACTGTTTAATTTTCTTTTTTTTGTTGTTGTAAAATTTTGAAATGGACCAGTACACACACTGCAACCTGAAAGACCAGGAAAATTTATAGAGATGGTTTTTAGGACAAAGCTGCTCGCATCTCTGTATATCTGCACACTTTTGGAGCAAGGAGAAAAGTTGATCATCGATCTCCTGTAATTCATTATAATATCTCAATAAATGGGTGCAAGGTTCAATTGTACTCACAATTTTCTCATCGTTTTTTTTTTAGGGGACACGTGCCTGGCACCCCATGTGAAGTCTCAGACCTATTCAACTCCTGAAGCTATTGTTTCTACTGAGACAGTTCTTATTGTGGAGTTTACCGTTACCTGCAAAAATGGATTGAAGGTTAGTTGTGACTCATCTGAAACTGTATGTTTCTTGCTGTAATACTGTGCTGATGTTGAATTTTGCATGGTTTATGTTGTTTCTGTTTGCTATCTTTTCTGTTTAGCATAAATTTAATTTTTCAAAGGCATATATATTGAAAGACGTGGAGTCAAGTCTGTCCTGTTTAATGTTCCCTTCGTATGGTCCAAAAGTAGCTTTCCTGGGTGAGGTTTTCACCAAGCTCAAGGCAAAAAATGAATACACGTAATATGTGATGAGCTTCATTAGAAAATGCGTAATATGTGCATGTAGTGAACTTGAGAAAATAAGCACTTTAATACATTCCATATAAACGTAGTCCTTGGTGGCCACCATGAACAAAGCAAGCTATACAGATCATTAGATCATTAAGTCTTGATAAAAGATTGAATAACCACTTACTCTATCCTCTAAGCTGATTTTTCACAAAATGACGTATAATCATTTAAAAAGTTACAAGACATTTTTGGTGGCTTCCTGCCAATATTTGGGCACCATGTAAATCACCTACTAATTATAGCAGAGATCAAAAAAAAAGAAAAGATGATGAGGATTGTTTTGGCTTGGTAGTGGCTAATCACTGAATGTCTGCTAGAGGTTAGGGTCAAACATTCACTAGCGCAATCCTAAAGTAGGCTATATTATGCGCCGTAAGAGTGACTGTTTAGTTTTGCATTCAAGAAGAGGAATCCGTTTTTTCAGATTTGAGTTAATTAAATAAATAATGCTGATTTGTCATTCTAAAATAAGAAGGTTGTACAATTTTGGTCTAAGAATACTCTTTGAGTGAAATGTTTTGTCATAGAAGATGCAGTCCTGATGACTAGTTATGATGCACTTTGTAGTGATGCTGGTCCTGTATAGTGCATCACATACATCTCCGGGGATGAATGAAGGTTTTCTTATTCTGTGGTTGAAATCTGTATGCATAGAAATTGGGTCTCACAATTACGGTTTCTTTTTTTCTTCAGAACATTAATCTGTATGCTGATATCGGAGGACGCACTTTGCCAGCAACAAAGACATCAGAGGCTAACAAATATCAGGTATGTCAAAAACAGTTGGTTCATGCCATTCTTTTGAGTCACAGATATGTCAAAGTTACATTTATTGAATGATTAAGTTCTAAGGTTTGTTTAGTTTTGACATTTACGGGACGCGCCGCCGGGCCAGTGGCCCCAATCCCGTGTATTTACGGGATGCACTTTATGAATTGATATCTCCGGTGTTTTTTCGGTCCCAAGCTATGGGAAGTGGCGAGCCAACAGCTGACCCACTTGTTTTGTTTCCCTAAAAAGTTGATGAAGTTATGTGAGATACTTTTTGAGCTGCATTAAACAAATTATTATTATGATAGCTTTCACTTTGTCTTTTTGTGGTTGACGATTCAGTATCCAAATCTGTCAGGATGTAATGGTTGTTGAGTTAAAAATAGCTCAGGCTCAAGTGAGTTAATTCAGTCTCTCTGGTGATAATGCTGATTAGCTCTACAAGCTTTTAAGATGTGAAGCAGATATGTCAGTCAACTTTTTGTCCAGGGTATGTAGGCTATGTTACAGGTTTATGAGGAAAGAAAGAAGTCAAATCATTGACAGATACCGGGTACCTTTATTTCTGTGCAAGTAAAATGTTCTCAATCAAAGCCAAGAGTTGTGGATTCTCTGCATTTTCAGAAATGTATTTATTTTTTATCTTTCTTTCCAGATCAGCATTACCGATGAGCACAAAAAATTGCCATCAGGCTCCTACAATCTGAGAATATTTGATGAAGAAGGTTTTGCTGCTTTGAGAAAGGTATGTTGAGACACTTCAGAATGGGGGGGTGGGGGGGGGGGAGGGTGTAATCTTACAGATGCTTAATAATAGCAGTGTTGTAGAGAAGAAGAGCCCGAAACAGCGATGCATTCTCTCCTGATTATCTCCATTCTTGAGTCCGGGGTACAGAGCGTTCGGCTGTGAGCAGTGCATATGGCTGTTTTAGACTACGGGTTTAATTATAATAGCAATGTTGTTGACATACTTTCTAGTGAAAATGAGTTATGGAATATTCTCAACTGAGCCTTTCTTATGAAGTAGTAAAAGGAAACAAAATACCATAGATTTCAAGTTTTGCTGAAGTTGGTTCTAAATCAAAGCAGGACCGTGTCTTGTAACCTTCAAAGTTGCTTTTTTCCCCCAAAATTTGTATGTGATAAGTACACACTGACTTATCTTTTGGTCCGAGCTTCTGTCTTACCAATCTCACTGAAAAAAATGTCACGAGGCAGTGGAATCAGGCGCTCGTCAATTTTCGGGCATATATAACTGGTGTCATCTTAGAGATTATTCATTTGCTATGCTTTCGATGAAAAAAAAATTCCTATTATCTTGAATAGAAGTCGAGATATTTGTGATTGAAAGAGGTGGGGTCACCTGGTTTCAGAAGTAAAATTAGCGAGAAAATGGCCACCAAAGTTTGGTGATTTCCATAGCTTAAGAAAACTGCAAATTTACAAAAAAAATTTTTGCCTTTAACTTTAATCATCATTTTTCCATAAAATATACTCATAAGTGTTTTTGGATGGACATACAAGGTGTTGAGCCAAAAAACAAAATTTAGAAAAATGTCCCAAACTGGCTGAAAAATGCAGATTTCTCGGATTTCAATTTTTTCACGCGCCTGATTTCACCATGATGCCTCACCACATATGTCTGCTGCTCTACTTAACTTAAAATTAAAGAACTGTAAATGTTACTTGTTTTGATTTTGTTTGTTTTTTTGCTCTTTCAGGCTCAAAGAAGTGGTGAGAGTACTGACAGTTTGAAGCCATTGTTCACCATTACAATGAGTCATCCGGTAAGTTATTTTTTTTCTCAATTGTTTTACGTTTGTATAAACAGCTTTTAATTAAAATACAGCAAATCCATGATACTACAAACTTCGACGAATCAGAGATTTTGTTCTTGTTAATTTGATTTCATATTAACCCTATCCTTACGTAGTGTTTTACTATCGTATCCATACGACATTGGGAACTCTGTGCCACCACTTTCCAGACACGAAATTCACTCCTTAACACATTACACCCTAACTCACCCGGGATCGCCCGCGAATTCCCTTACGCGCTCCACCCTGACTCGCCCGGAACCGCCCGCGCCGACTTTAGAAACGAAGTCTCACCTTGGCGAGACTGAGGCTGAGATTTTGATTTGCATAGTTATTGCAAAAAGTTTCTTCTTTCGTTTGATACCGAAACAAAATTTTTCGGGGCAGTAGTTTTAGTATTAGAGTGGAACGAAGTGCGATCGCGTTACTGACACTTCGAAAGTGTCTCGACTTGTTGAAAACCGACACAATTGATTTCATAAAAGGAAATAACGATGGATTTGAGCAAAAACAAGCATACGGCAAATCAGATGACTCAGATTTTGATGAAAATGCTGTAGCAAGAGTTTGGGGTGATTCGGATTGATCAGACGTAGAAAATCTAGAATTTAGATCTAGGGCCCGACCGCGAGGCTGAGAGTGAGAGTGACGGGTCGGACACCCCGATTGAATTAAAGTTAGAACATTTCCAACAGTTTGCACAGACATAAAGTTATATTTTTCTGAAACTACATTCATTTTGCGTTTTAACTTGTATTTTTTCAGGATTTTGGGAATTTGTTTAGTATTTTCTAAATGTGTTTTTTAAAGGCTTGTATTCACGGGAGGTGGGTTCTTTCCCCTTGCTTAGGATCTAACAATGGACTTCCCGTCCAGGCCCTTAGGGTGTAATGTGTTAATCCGATCCGTACGCTTTGCATAGCAATCTGTGAAAATGATTTTTTGAGAAATACTGAAAGTTTCAACGAGATCTTCGCACTAGAAGTATTCTAAAATTTGAAAAATACAACCCTGGGAGTACAAAATGACTCCAGGGCGTACGGATAGGGTTAAGTTAAGCAGGGTGTTAGTGGAAAAAAACAAAACAAAAAAAGGCAACTCCTTTCTGTTTGTTGCATCAAGACCGGACAAGATCACATGCTAGGCCTTGTGTAACCTTTCCTTAAGTCATTGATAACACACGCAGAGCTTTTGGAAATGTAAAAAAAGAAAGAGGAAACCTTATTTTCAACCTTAGATGTTTCAGCCCAGAAGTTGCGATGAAACGGTCCAAAATTCGTAGGTGTGAACCAGATTTATGCTTGAATTTTTGGTAGTGTTGAAAGAAGTTGCGATGCATAGAGGATAAGAATGTTAAGCTGTCTACTGTATCTGGTTTTGTTGAAAAAAAATGCGATGTGGGAATGAAATGACAAAGATTTTTGCAACATTGTCTTATTAATAAGAAGAATTTGATGAATGTTTGAAGTTAACTTCTTTGATGAACTGGAAACTGGAGTGCTCGGTTTATAATTTCATTGTTAGTTTTGAGATTTTTGGTTTCCTGAAATTTTATAAGGACAGTTCTACAAATGGACTTTCTCCCAGGTTTTCCCAGATTGCCATACTTCTATTTATCATCTAAATTATTAATACGAGTCCTGGAACTCGTATTCAATGAAAGCACAGATCTTGTTTGTCTGTTGGAGTAATGGCCGTGGGATTTTGAGTATGTGCGTTTCAACTTTAAAAATCATAGCTCTTGTGTCCGTAAGAGTCTTAATCTTAAACTTAAAATATTTCCAGTCTGCGGGAGAGCCACTGGGAAAAGCAGAAAAATAATCAATTATTTGAAATTAAACCCAAACTAGAACAGCGAAATCCTTTGGACCTCTCCAGAAGAGACGGAGTCATTTTTACTTGATTGCGCATCGGACACACGGCCCTGACCCACAAATACCTCCTACAGGGAGATGAGAAGCCGTTCTGTGTCGGATGCGACACAGATTTTACCATTAGACACATCTTAACAGAATGTCTAGACTTTGGAAAGATCCGAAGGAAGTATTATAAATGCAAGAAATTGCAAGATATTTTTTCCGTCGTTGTTCCCAGCAGAATTTTGAGTTTTATAAAGGCCATTGGCCTTTATGGGAAGTTGTAAGATGAAAAATGAAAACGTACTATTTAAAATTTTTATTATTACCTATAAGAGTTGTTTTAAACCACAAATATATTTACACTAAATTTTAATATTTTAACATTTTAGCATTTTAAAGTCGATTAGTTGACCAGTCGTGGAGTGAACTTTTGCGAAAGTAAACAACTTGTGTTTCACGCGCTCATATGACCTTAGCAGTTGCGAGCGCCGTAAAACCCTATACTACATACATACATACAAACTTAAAATAGGTGGCAGTTACGTTTTGGGTTCATCCTTGTGTTTCAGGAAAAGGATGTATGGAAGGCTATAGTGTTACAAATTACAATGAAGGACACACTAAATTAACGATTTTAGAAATAAGAAATATTTTAGATGTACCAATGATAGATCTAATTGCACTCAGATAAGGGCTTTCAATTGCTTTGAGTCGTTGAAAGTGGGATGAAGGGGGTTAATTTTTTTATGTAAAGAAAACAGAATGCATGGTAATATCTGAACAGGCAGTAAACCTTATTATTAATCTCTGAAGAAGCAATGAAACGATCAAACAAGTTCAGAAGTTTATGTGACATATATCTAGGATATATAATGACATTTGGTGGCAAAATGTACCACTGAAATAAATCAAAGAATTGCAATAGCTAAGGAGATTTAATAGAATAAGTTATATCCTAGAAAAAATTAAAACATCATGATAACTAAAATAAGAGTTTAAAGGCTGTGTGTGCAGGCCAAAGGGCTAGAACGCAGATGGCCGCTGGATCGGAAAAGTAAAGGCTATGTGTGGTGTTCCCTTCTCTGTGAGTGCTGCACAATTACTAAAGATAGTGGAAATAAATCAGAGGCAACAAAAATGTGTTTACTTTGTAGAAAACTGGTGAAAATGTCATGAAAGGGGAAGGCAAAAGAGGTAGAGGTAGACCAAGAACAATTTACGTAGGGAACTTAAACAGGTGATGGGAAAAGGCTAGGATAAAATGGTGTTTTTTTTTGGGAGCAAAGAAATAAATGGCAAACTGTGATTGCTGATGTCAGCTTCAAATCCGACACTTGATAATGAAACGAAGTCTACTAATATTATTTACTTGTTTTCCTTTGTTTCTGACAGGGTATCTGGAGCGGTCCCATGGTCCAAAGTGAATTTGTTGCTGCCATGTCTGCTATTGTTGTATGGTGGCTTGCATATACGGCACGCAGTAAACTCCTAGCTTAAACTGATACGTCTGTTTTTAGTTTGAGAGAGTCCAGTTTTCTGTCTGTCTTTGAGAATTTGCTGATGAGTCCAGTTAGCGTGTGATTGATTTTTAAAATATTTTTTTTTGGTGGTATTTATATCATTCCTCATTTTCGGCATCCAGGAGAAGGGGATATCGTGTGTGTAATTTTCCATTGAATCTTTTCCTTTCTTTTGGGCTGACAAAGGAAATTCCACCTACGGTATCTCACATTGTTTCAGAATTTTGTTGTTGTCTTTGGTATAAATGCTGATGAGTGAAGAGCAAGGAATGTTATGTTAAAAATAAATAAAACTCCTGTGTCAAAAAAATTCTTTGGGTGTTTTTCATGATTTTGTGTGTGCTTACTGTTGAGTGTTTTGGCTTTTTTTTGGTCAGGAGGTTATTCATTTTTCTTGATAGTTTTTGTTTTTGAAAATGCAGTTTACATCTGCAGCCCATAGATTGATGTCGCATTTGTCTTTCAAATTATGTGTACAGAGCTACGAAGGCTGACAAAATTTGCATAGCAATATAACATGTGGTCTGCATGTAGCAGAATTTGTAGCACAGTATGGCTGTCACTTGTTACATTTTAAATGATAGCTTCTTTTGAGAAGAAAAAGGTAAGGTAAAGAAGATAGTTGCAACACTCACTGGGCACATAGATTCAGTTGCTGTATTAAAGGCATTATGGTTCTGTTTGAATCTTCTGGTGGGTAATAAAGCAAAGTTCTGCAATTATTTTCGAATATCCATTGCTGCTTTTGATGAGTTTCTTGGCAAGTTGCACTATGACTTGGTCTTTCTTTTCCATTTTTTTTGGTGTAGATGTTTTTACTCCACCGTTGACACAATTTGGATATTTTTAGGAGGCGGGCTTCTGGCCCAGCCTTTCACGGCCAACGGGGGCTGAGAGAGATACAACATCCCAGCAGGAAGACCAGGATACTCAATAAAAATTTCTTCCCACTCCGAAATCGAACTGGGATCTCCTGTTGCAGCAGCAAGCGCCTAATCACTGCACCACAAATGCCAGTTTGATCTTTTCTGATCACATAGCTTCAACTACTTCGAGGTCCATTAGCTTCAATTTGACCAAATATTTGAGTAGGCTAGACAAACTACCTTGTGCAAGGACCAGCACTATGTCACACACTCTCTCCCTGTCTCTCTCTCTCTCTCCCTGTCTCTCTCTGTCACACACATAGGCCTACACGGTACAGTACTGTAGAGTCACATACACACGCACGCACACACACACACAGGTACATACTCCTACACGCACACATTTAAAACAAAAACTTTTCCGAGATACTTCAAGCACCTTTCCATGTGAGACTCGCAGGCACAGTTAACCCAACATGTCAAGGTTTTAGCTACTTTAGATTTAATTTTAAACACTGACAGCAGAACTAAATCTGAGAACTCGTCAATTTTTTCTATTGAAAACCAACAGGGCGAAGGTTTCAGTCTGATGAAAATGTGACTCATATCGTATCATTATGGTGCATTCCCTTTGCTTTGGGATCTCCACATTACTTAAGTTACAATGACTCTCAACGGTACTCGTAAAAATAACATGAAAAATGTAGGTAAACGGCTCATTGATTTTATTCTCAATACGTGTACTAAGTTTCCCTCACAGTCACAGTACAGCTAATACACACGCACTGCAGAGATATATGTTATGACGTAAGAAAAACGTACTGTACATGTACGAAGCAGGAAAGAGTTCTCAAGTAGCACAAGAGATGATGAAGAGATACAGGCTGCACATAGTACTAGGAGTCAGCGGAACCCATTGAATACAAAAGCAGCTCAGCTTGTCCTGAGTACAGATGCACAACGAAAGGAGCAGGTCACAGTAGAAGGAAATGCACTAGAAGACGTTGAATCCTTTTATCTAGGGAGAATAATTGACAGAGAGGGAGGAACAGGCGCTGAAATAAAGTCTCTCATTGGAAAAGAGGCTTCTTTCATTATATCTATGAATAGGATTTGGAAGACTAGAGATCTCACTTCGCACAAAGCTGAGGATTTTCAATTCAAATGTGAAGTCCGTCCTGTTGTATGGATGTGAGACATGAAACGCATCACAGACTTGCATGAAGAGGATCCAGGTTTTCTTGAACAAGTGTCTAAGAAAGTTACTGGGGATCAGACGGACAGACTGGTCCACCAACGAGGAAGTGTTAAGGAAGATAAGACAGACCCCAGTCAGAGTCTGAGATGAAGTAGGAAGAAGGCGGTGGCGATGGATTAGATACACCCTCAGGTAGTCAGACAGCTGCATAACATAGAAAGTGTTGGATTGGAATCCACAGGGTAAAAGATCAAAGGGAAGACCGCGTGGAGCCTGGAGAAGAATCACAGAAATTAATGTACAGAAAAGTGGGAAGACATGGAATACATGTAACAGCAAGGGGCTAGCCCAGGATAGAGAAAGGTGGGAAGTGTTTGAGTTTTTCCGTGGCTTATACCCTGCCTGGTGCAGGGTGAGAAAGACAAAGATGATGACGTATAACAATTATATTTAGTTATTATAGTGCGGGCAAAAATTCGTGGTGCAACTTATCCTCAAATATCTTTTTAACGGGTGAATCAAATGTCACCCATACTTTGCACAGCAGTTTGAGTCAATTTGTCTTGACTTAATCATATTTCCCCCACTATAATTGAGGCTAAGTTAAAAAACTTTTTTCCATAAATTTATGGAAAATGCTTTAAATCTCCGTCACACGAAAAATTTGATTGTTCACAGTACAGCACCCCGCGCTTCTCACACACATTTTGCATACGCATATATGGCCTTCGTCACAGTTCATCAATGACACGTTTTAGTGGCAAAACTTGTTACCCTACAAGAAATTAATTTTATAGTGAACGCTTTTATTTTGCACAAAAGGTTCTCAAAACATGTGTTTAATAAGCATAATATATATAATGTCGCGAATAGAAAGACAAAATAAGGACAAAAATACATTATTTCCCCAGCTATAAACCTTTTAAAATGTTTAGAAACCCCCACTTTCATTTTTGAAAAATAGCATCAATTAAGGAGTTTCTCAAATTACAGCTAACAGGTATTTATCCAGATCAATTGATATAGATTCATTGTGCCAAATCTGGAGAGTCTATGGTCAATAGTTGAGGAAATATTTGACAATAAGTTGCACCGCGAATTTTTGACCGCACTAGAATTTCATCTTTCCAGTGTTGGCCGACTAATCGAGTGACAGCGGTAATCAGTACTGTGCTGTTGTGGTAAAGCTTCCAGACTCGACTCGAAGTCGTGAGATTGGTGGTTTGGGGGTTGGAGGCTTTATTGCTCGGTCCGGCATTGTGTTCATGGCAAAGGCACTTTACATCACGAATTTCCCCATTTTTTAAAGCTTGGTTCTTCTACAGGAGAAGAATGGTGCAGCTTTTTACCTAACACTTACACGCTACATTGTTGCATGGCGCGTTGAGCCTGCACAGTTTGTATCTTTGCAACGACGTGCAAACACATAGGTACTTGTGCTGGTAAATGAGGTATGAAAACATTGACTTTAAATTATTATAAATAGGCTACATGTACATGATAGGCTATCATAAAGTATACTTTCAAACAGTGGCGAAGCGTCTATATAATCAAATAATCACTGCTTCCCTTCCTAATTTTGAAACATTGTCGCAGTCAAATTCACCCATAGACGTAAACCTCATAAATTAAATGTAAAAAGACGTTCATACTCACAAATGAACAATAGACTATGCCTAACCTTCAAAACCATTTCATTGAAACAGAAATAGCCTGTTCGCCCCTATCGGGCCACTCCATAAGCAGTCACAAGCTTTGATTAAGTAAGCTTAAACTTAAAGTGAGGCTGGAAGAGTCTACCAATCGAGTTGAAGGGAACATGTGCATAGCAGTCAAAACTGTTTCATTGCAACATATACCCTGTTCACCCCTTTCGAGCCAGAGTTATAAGCAGCCACACGCGCTGATCATGTAAGCTAACTATTACACTGGTCGAGTCTACCTCACAGATGTGAGGGGAACTAGCTCCTAATAATATCTTGACTGCTGCGAATGCTTGTTTTTTTCCTCGACTTTTTAACGTCCTATAATCAGATCGTGACCTCGATTATGACACCGGCTCCTGGCCGCGAAAAGCTAGACAAAATCAGCCAAATGTGAAAAAAAAAAAAATAATAATTGGCATGCTCTACCAAAGTGTTTAGACTGTCAGGTATAACATGCCATTGTAGAACTGACATCTCTGCTTCTTTCCTTGGTGTTCGTGTATTCAAATCTAAAGTTAAATTTGAGGTTAGAGTAAATATTTAATGGAATACTTTCCCGATTATTTTAGCGGTTGAATATGCATACAACACGAATTGAGGATTTGTTTTCATTCACAACTTAAGAGTTGCCGCCTCCAGTAAGTAAGATTCTTGTGACTTGTGTGAGTGTGATATCTCCAGGCCCTATCTGGTCCCATCTCACTTTGATTACCCTGTCAAACAAGTCAGCCTTCGCCCTTGCTTTCAAGTACGTGTCGTTGTAACGTTTTGTTATAATTGGGTCTACACTTTATGACTTCAGAGTTCAGTTGATCAAAAGGTGAATCCAGGTTTGCTGACGCCGTTCCATGACTGGTTGCCCCACGCATTCCAGCGTGCTTCAATCATACGCACATCACTTGGCGTCACCCGCCCACTGGAAATGATCGTGTGAGTAGAGATAGGACGGCTTGTGGGTGGTGCCTTGGTGTCATAAGGGGCCACTTGCTTAATATGATAATTCGGCTTTTGGAATATACCCCACTTGGTGTATGCCGTGTAAGAGAGATAGGCGAGGCCACCTATCAGTAGAGGTGCAAAGACACAAACGAGAACCACCCACGCAATATTTCCGCCGTTGTCAAAGAAATCACTACTCGCTGGGTTGTACACGAAGACTCGCACCGAGGCAGAATCGTAAGAGCTCGAACCCGGGTTTGATACTCGAATCGTCACACTGACTTCCGAATCGCCGTAAGTCCTCAAGCTGCTGTACACAAATACATTTCCTTTATTGTCAATTCTCAACAGACTCGAGCCGGTCGAGCCGTGGGTGGTGTAGACCAGTTCTGCGTGCTCGGTGCTGACGTCATCGTCCGAGGCGTTGACCGTTAGGATGGTAGTGCCCAGGGCGACGTCACTGTAGGTGGTGGCGCTGTAGCTCTCACTCTCGAACTGTGGGATGTTGTCGTTCGAGTCCAAGATAGAGACAGTCAGAGTAGCTGTCACCGACAGGGGCTCCGGGTCAGAGATGACCACTAGCCAGATGTATTGAGTTGACCTGAGATAGAACCAGAAGTTTGTTTTGAATGTGCCATTATGTGTTTCTTTTAACACACACACACACACACACACA